TCATCCAAAAATGGTGAAATGAACATCACATTAAACCCAATATCGTCTCATATCACATGCATAATCAAACTTAGGGTATACACATACATTTTGGCTAAACCGAACTACGCGTACAATTTAATGTTTAATGTTTGAATCAATGTTACTTGAGTTTCGATTTCACAATTCATCAGTGATTCTAGATATCTAGAAGATTTCGTTAGATTCTTGCGGCTTCCTAGTTTAAATTATTATAAGAAGTGTATGTAACTTCCTTCTCATATCACATGCATAATCAAACTTAAGCATCAAATAAATGGTTATCCCAAATGGATTTGAGTGTATCGATTAACAATACAGTTAAAATTGCGATTTAAAAATTAAAAACTTACAATTTTACACTTTTAGGTCATTAAAACACTTTCGTTTTCATATAAAATCTTTAGTGTATAAAATCATACTAAATTGCGCTTTAAAGCTTAAAAACTTACGTTCTTACACTTCTATTTCACAAAAATGCCTTACGCTTTTAGTTCACTAAATGGGTACTATTTTTTTACCCGGCCTGTTGGCAGGAGAGTTTCATTATCATTTATACCAATTGATTTATCTATATATTAAAAAATCTTTTGAATCACCTACATTTTTATACTCTCACTTTATAAGTGAGTATGTGATATGCATATATTAAAAATTCTCAATACTTAGCATACTCACCTATGATTCTATTTTTTTCTAACAAAAAATTATATCGTGAAGATTTATCACATCCCATTTAGGATAGCATATCAAGATTTGTCAAACCAAGACACTCAAATTTATTATATTAAACTACATATAACAATTCGTGATTCTCGAGTCAGGACAAACTCTAAACCAATTATTGAGAGTTCAAATTATTAGATAAAGATGCTTAATTAATGGATAATTTTTGTTTATTCCAAGTGAAACTTAACACATATTGTACCCCTTACGATGATCATATTATCTAATCATGACTCATTTTCAGGCCAATGTTCATGAAGTCTTAGTTGAGGATTTTATGTCAAATTTGTCTATCAAGACACTCAAATTGAGTATATTATACAATATGTATCCATCACTAATTCTTGAAGTAGTTGTTGTCTATATGTTTGTTCAGAATCTCAACCCAAGACACTCCACACTATCAAGGGTTCTTGTCTTAACATGGTCATTTAGTGTATATATTTCCAACTTTTTTAATGTGCATTTGTAAAAAAAAATTATCTTTGGTGTTTGGTTCATGAAACCGTACTAAACATCGTACTGGAAAAGTCAGACGTAGGGTCTTTTATGGCAAAATCGTGGCTTAACCACACAGTTTAATAGTTAGTACGGTGAAATACAGTGTACCAGTTTACCAAAAACCGATGCATGGGAATAACCTTCTCGAAAACAGCAATTCTGTCGGTACGGTACGGTTTCATTAACCATTTATGAAACAAATTTTTTTATTACTCATCTTAATAATTGATAAAGCGTGTCTACAACGCCACAAATTTTAGGTGCATTTAAAACGGCGTATCGTTTGAACAATTAATTTATAATTTTTTAAAAAGTTGATTTTTTATTAATTTTTTAAAAATTCATACAACCATTATGACATTTCGCATACATATGGATTCATGGATGTATTGTAGACACATCTATTGTTAATATCTAAGCATATGTAAAGAGTTTAATTTACTTTTTAATCATAGTTAATACCTTCGAACTTTGCTCGATCAGTGGAATATGAAAGAAAAAAAATTGTGGCTAGGATAACTCTATCTAAATACAAATTGCTTCATGTTACAAAGTAAAATATTTATGTTTTGACACTTTGATATCATAACATTTTTGTTATTGCCAAAATTTGGTATTTAGTCACAGGCTCACAACCATACAACCAAATGACTTCTTACAATTGCCTTATTGAACTCATCATTATTAAAGATTTATAATTTTTAACCCAATAACTCGGATTAGACTTACAAATACATTCAACTATTAAACGTAAATTGTCAGCCTTTGTTTGATCAATGCTTAGGTCAGTGGTTGATGATACGTGATGTTTACCATACATCGTCTACAAATACTTCTTTAACATTCACATGTGTCATATAATACTGGTACATCGTCAAGTTTCTATCCAGATATTTGGTTATATAATACTTACTATATTTTATAGCCGTATACATTTGAAATGAGAAAATGTTTTATAGTAAAAAATATAAAATAATATAGTTCATTTTTGAAAGTCGATTGATCGTCAAACCACTGTTTTCTCTCTTTCCATTGCTACATTTGTTTGACTGGATAAAATATCATTATTTATGTGTGTGTTTTTTCTATTTTTCCATTAAAATGTAACTTATTATTAAGTTTTAGCATAAATGAATAAAAAATGACTTAAAAATGTAATAATATGTTTTCGATTTAAAAATGTGAGAGATGTCACTTTACAAACATTAATCTATTATTGAATACATAGATTAATACATATAATGCAAAAAAAAAATATTGATAAAAGAAAAAATATTAAAGAAGAGAGAGACAGCTCCATAAATTGATCATTAACTCAATTTTTTGTTTCCAAAAATATTGTCCATCTTGGCAACTTGTGAGTTCTCCAAATGCTTATTTGGCAATAAGTAACTTTTGAACCACCATAATATATAGTAAGATAAGATAAGATAAGATAAGATTCTTTTCATGAAATTAATTATAGGGATAATTCCACTAGGAAGCCCGAACTATTCAAAAAGTGTCATCTGTGTCCCAAACTATTCAATATGACAAATCTGACACGAACTATTTTCTATAATGTTGACCGGCGTGACCGTTAGTATTTAATAGAAAATCTAGTTTAGGAAACAAATGTCACAAAATGCACATAATTTGTGCCACATTTGTCATATTGAATAGTTTAGGACACAAATGACACTTTTAGCATAGTTTGGGCTTCCTAGTGGAATTAACCCTTTATTATAAAAAAAAAGAGTATATTTTAAAGGTAAATCACCAACAATATGATACATTTGAAATTAAAAGATACATATCAGGTACTTGGATGCATTCTCGGCTTCAATAGGGTAATTTAATTCACCAGCTAGGCCCTTTCTAAATTCAATAGGATAATTTAATTCACCAGCTATGTTTATGAACTTATTGTTAAGATTCTATGAGTTGCTCTACTTTAGACATGAATTGCGAGTATGTATTAACTTATCTAAATTCTGTGAACTCATATTTTACATAACATATGTCGTACTTAACAGATTTTTAGTCATTTTACAGTATGCATAAAAAACTTACTCTTTTACGCTTTGATTCTATGTTTTACGATTTTTCCCTTTTTCCGCTTCTTGGTAGAATCGCGTTTTTTACTGCATTATCGACGAAGTTGTTGTCTCAATAGGCATCTTCCTTGGGAGGGAACACGACATGAGTTATAACTCTAAAATTGTTTGATATAAATGAGACGGAACACATTATGGAGTTATCGGTAATGTTGAGTTGGACAATGAATTTCATCCATTTTTATGATCATACCACACGCATATTTGAGATGAAGCAATGAATGATGTAGTAATTTCATTGCTATAAGAACCGAACTCGATCAACGACTAAATTAGTAGAACCGGCAAACTAGTTATAATAGTTGTTTGGTTCATTTGCTTGGAAGTGATGGACCAAAGAGTTCTTCGCAATCCAAAATAAAACTAAAATGAAGCATCTCGATTTGAATGATCCACTGGTTCACTATTTTAACAAAAATAGGGGGGGAAAACTTTAACGTAAACTAACACCGTCCATCCTAAATTACAAATTTTATTTTTGATTCCGCTTCTCATGCCTCAACCTCCTTATCGACTTTATGCCGTCCCCTACCGACTGCCTAACTTCTAACTCGAATTATAAAATTATGATTTCTTTTGTGAGAAAATTTGACTTTTTAGATACTTTGGTGATGCATGGTATGGATTTGAAATTGTATATGGTCAATAATAAATTCATTCTTAGTGTATTATACATGTCTTCTATCATGAACGAATATATCAACGGTTAACCAACTATTTTGTAACGGCTAACCACTAACTTCAACGTCCGGTCCGGTTCTCAAAACATAGAGTAATTTTCCGGCAAGAATTAAAAAACCGTTAGTCCTTATTGGTGTAAGTGAAGCTGCTGTAAAATTGATCTAACATGAAAATTAAAAAGTCAAATGAAAGAAGCAAATGTTTGATACATATTTAACCTCATGTTAAACTGTTAAGTGTTTTAAATTATGAGAATAAGAACTTATATGCTCATAATATCTACAGTGGAGGTGTTTTGTTGGATCATATATGCATAGCTTAAAAGGGTACAACCGCTGATGAAATTGTTAGCTGTAAGTGATAGAAGAACGTATGAATGAGACACAAATAGATGAGTACCCGGATGCTCTTAAGATCGTTGAAATGAGTATAGTTCTTCTGTAGAGCAAGGTTGTGCAACATCTTATGCATCTTCTTAGGTCCAACGTGTTGATTTTAATTTGTTACGAAAAATATGTATGATTCGGAATGCAAAAATCATGTTGTTCTGAGAAACTAAAATATATGATTAGGTAGATCTTACGAGTTTAACAAAGGGTGAAAGTTTGGACAATTTAATAAAGGGTGTTGTCTCCAATCTGAAATTTATGGGTGCTGAAATCTACGGCCGATGGGAAATCAGCAAAGCTGGATGAATTAGAAAGGCTGGGCGGATTGGCTAGCTTTGTTCAACACTGTCGACTTCATTTGTAACTTCTGACGCCAATATGCATGTAATTCTGCTTGTCCGTTTCTGTTTGCCACCAGAGAATTTTGATTACCAGTTTATCTACGGACTGAGGCTGCATCTTCTGTTTCCTGAACAATCTGCTGCTGCTCATTGTAAGATGAAGAGCTCAGGTGAGAAATCAAATCTGCCTGATTTTGTCTCGGATTTACTTTATGTCTCGCTTTTTTGTGTCGGTTTTTAGTTTTTGAATTGAGTTGAGCAACCAGGATCCTCCAATAGTGTTCTGTATTGTTCCTAGTGGCGGGCTTGAAAGAGTAGTAACATAGAAGGCAACAAACTGTCATTGAAACAAGACTAGCAAGATTGAGAGGCATCACAAGTGAAGCGGACATCATCGTAATAACCTTTGATGATGCCATGATAAAGGTCTCAAAGGCTGCCCAGTATACTAAAAACACAGTACTGTTACGATTCTGGGACATGAGAGTCTAAAAGGATTCATGTATCTGATGGTGTTCAGTGCATACATTTTAAGCATCCCATTTTCCAATTTAGGTACCAACAGACTACATTCCAAATTCACTCAACCAAATGTAGTAATAGCAAAGCCATCAGGATAGCTCAAGCTCCCTTTCCTCGTCATGCTCCACTTGCATACAAACGGGCCCACTCTTTAGCTGTAAAACAGTTCCACAGCGGTACACAGTGAGAAAGGAAGTAAAATGTTCGAGTTTACTATGGATAACAGCTAAGGAGATCCAATTTAGTTCCGCTCACTACACGCTTCATTAACACAATATCTCGGCTAGGGGGCATTCCAGGTTCTTGCTCAAACCTATGTTAAGAAATGTTATCTAGGCTGTTTCCCCCAGGGCTGTTTCCGCTGGCGAACTCAAACTTGGAAAGCGCTTCAGCATAAATGGACACTACCAGAACGAAAGTAGAAAACTACATGCAGTCACTACCGGTACCTGTTTCAACAGCTTCAACCTCGTTTGTCTTCCAGTGCTTTGCAATGTTCTCAGACAGCGGATCATCAGGATTCGGAGCACTCAAGAGAGCTTGGATGCTGATTCAAAAGGTCAGCCGTAGTAAGACCTACTAATACTGGAATGCATGCATTGAAATACAAAATCTTGCACAATTTCAACTGTTCATTCATTCAGCGACTTGGTAAACAAACTTCATAGCTGAAAAAGAAAAGAGAGCAAATTGACTCTCAGCTCCAAATGTCACCTCAACAGAACCGTCCGAATTTGGAGAGCAGGGCTCCATTTATCTTTCAGAATATCAAGGCAAATCCTTCCAAGCTGAAGAAAAGAAAACATGTTCAGTAACTACAGATATTATGACAAAGAAATGGAGGTCAAAGAGTGAGTGACAGAATGCACACCTTATCGATGTTAGGGTGATAAATTTTGGTCAAGAAGCGAACCTGTAAAAAGAGAAGACAAACTGATAGATAAAATACAAAGCGGTATAGTAAACTTATAGATAAACACAAGGGAAACCGTCAATCCCACCATCATGTCACTTCAACTACCAAATTACTATGACCAACAACCAAAAAATTCCACATAATTTTAACTAGGAGACGAATTCCACAGAGTGCAAGTTCTGGTGATAAAATATATCTTTCTACACTAATCTCAAGGAACAACACAAATCACAATGCAAAAATAGAGAGGGATATGAAATGGCAGCGTATCCATACTGGTTGACATTTTAAGACTCAAATACCTTCCCAGAATCTAGCAACAAGCCAGGAGCAAGTAAGGAAAAATGAAAAAAATTTAGCATGGCAAACACAACACTGTTGAGAGAGATCACCGTCCCAGCCACAACACTATTGAGAGAGATCACCATCCCAGCCTCATGTGAATTAATAGTTACACGGCACACTCCATTTTAAGCAAAACAACAAACTGTAATAAAAAAAAATCAAGTAGTATTCAGGAAAACACGCTACAGTACTCAACTGCCTGGCTGCACATGCAACTGAACATTAGTTGCCTCACTTAATTAGAAAACAAAAAGACATAAACCACAAATGCTGGAAGTTAGATCATGTAACAACTTTTTACAATGGCAAGTACAACATGAAAACATGGCACAGTACTGAACTGCCGGTCTGCAGATGTAGCTTAAAAGCAGTTTTCACTTAATTATAAAACTAGAGGCAAACTTAATGCTGGAAATTATATAAACTAACAGCCTTTTACAGTGACAACCACATTGAGAAATATCTCATTCATTCAAATTAGCTTAGATGAGAAATACACAAAGCAAATTAATTCGGTAATGATCTAAGTTTAGATAAGCTGTTTATCTAACAATTTTTAAATGTATAATTGTTTGTGTGACATTGCATATCAAACATCAACAAGGAGTGGCATTCATTTAACATAGGGTCCTGAATACCTTGGGAGGCGCCATAGGGTATTCCTCAGGTAAAAACAATTCCAACTTGAAGACACCACCTGATCATTGAATGTCAAAGAATTACAATACGAAGCAACAGTAAACAGAAGCCATACATCAGTCAATCTTCTTTCTGTATGAATTTGTGAGCAGAACCACTACCCACTAGGTGAAAGGCAGAATCACTTTGGAACAAGAATCTCAGTGACAAAACAAACTGTCAACATAGGCCTAAGCATATGATATACAAAATTTTAAGTTAATGGATGAATAAAGAATTAAGTTAATACCATTAATGAACAATAGCAATCAGGAAGGTATCTTACACATTTGAAACAGTAGGAAACAGACTAGTAAATAGATCAGATCTGACAAGAAATTTCTGATAAACATAAAAGAAAAGAGACACATATAGACTGCTGTAACACTCTATTCCCCATAATTTCACATATCCCCAAAGAGCAAACCAAAGCAAGATAACAATAAAAAAAAAAACTTTTAAGATTAAATACAGAAGCACAATGCACGATGTCATGGTTTACATTAGCTATATTCTGCATGACAAGACAAACACATCATTAGAAAGAGAATTTGGATTTTGCACCAACCTTCATAAGGTGATTGTGTTGGGCCAAGAATCATAACATTGAAGTAACGCATGTTATCTTCCGAAGGAGAAGCACTAATTCCTGGAGCTGCAGCCAAACAGTTAAGAAACATTCATTCAAACAGGCCATTCTGCATAACTGATAGGACGAGTTTTTACACATCGCATATGCAAAGAAGGAATTTTACAGTACACTAGAACAAATCAAACATTTCAAATTATACATTGGAGCCTGTAAAAATCATTGCTCAAGAGATAAACTTCATACCCCAAACCAAGCACGTTTAACTTTAAAGTTTAAACCCACACGTACTCGCTGAGAATTCGAAGATAAAAAGGCTCCTAAACTCGACACATTTGAAACATAGTTCATCACAAATCACAACGTCTTTACACAGCCCAATTTACCCTTTCCCATTCGATTGCCGGAACCCCAGTTTCTAACTGCTCGGGGATCGTCAACTGCCTAAGCCCAAAATAAGTACGGCGGGGCTAATTCTCATCTACTAGATCGGGGAGATAACTAGCAACCACGTCAGGGTTCAAACCGAAGCAACCAATCAAGAGAGTCGATTGGTGACAGTACCCAAAAGATCACCTCATCAGCATACCGAAAAACAGGGATCGGAAATTAAAGCAAAAACCAGGCCTTCACTGATTAGTTGAGTTCACTAGAGAAGGGGGAAATAGGAAAGAAAGACGAAAGAAAACCTGGTTCGCTGAGGAGCCGCTGCGTCTCCTACACAAACAAAATTCGAACCCAGTGATGAGAACAATCTAAAGCTAGAAATCTTCGAACAGACAGAGCAGCAAACGCAGGAGAGAAATAGATTGATTTCAAAGCAGCGAGAGAAAGATCAGAAGAGTGCCCTACCTTGATAATCCTCCGAGGAAGATTGCTGTTCGCCATGGAAGTTTACTTCCTCTGGATCAGGTGGAATCGAAATTCGGGAGAATCAGTAGAGAGAGGCGAGGGGATTGAGTCGGTAAAAGCTTGGATTCTCTGGGGTGGAATAAGTCGGGGAAAGCTGAAGAGGGGATGGCGTTGGTGCTCTCAAGTCTCAAGCTAACTCCTCTTTGCAATTTGCCGATTCTTTCTTATTACGTTGTTTTTCGTTTGTTTTTTTTTTTAAATGGAATATAGTTATGTTTGCCCTTCTATTTTGTTACTCGATTAATTACCAGTTTGGTTAGTCAATTTATGTAATTCTTATAAACCCTATAAAATAACATTAGGAAGTGATAACCGAAATAGCTAGTATTGGATAAATAAAGCATTCCTCACGGCAGTAGCTACATTCAAACAGAGAGTTGAAAGAAGCTAAATTGCTAGTTCCCGTTCATCTATTTTCAATCGAGCAATTTCGTTCATTTGGGCTTACTACTTCGTTCCTTCGAATAAGCTTGGCGAACTTGGTTGAATAGTACAATTCAGGAATTTAGTTTCAAAGGGGGTGAGTGAATATTAATAGCAGTTACTATGTTAGTCTTAGTTTGGGACTCCTACTTGCTTGCAACTGCTTTGCTACTCGCTCAGTCTGAAATCGATTCCTTGCGCAATTCAAACCCATCTAAAATCTTCCCCCTAAGCATGTGTAGGAAGTAAACTACCTCTTCCTGTTCGGCCAACGACTTTTTGGGTATTAATTCTTAATGGAATCTATCCTCCGAAAAGGGCAAGGAAGAAGACAAGTGGAACGTCTATTGCTCCACTTTGTTAGTATAGTAGCAAGCGCGGTACCCACTGAAACCTTTGTTAGGAAAACCGAGAGGGGAAGCTGTGGCATTGATCCGCCAGCTGGAAGCAAACAAACCTATCTTTCTTGCCCCTAAGTCTTGATTCGACAAAATCACTTTTAGCAACCTTTTATAAAAAGAAAGAGGATCGTGCCTTAGGTCAATGAAATGTTCCAGGAAAGCACCAAAGGGGATAACCAACTTCAAATAGAACGAGTGAAACTGATAATAGATAGAGTTTTAGGTAGTTCACCAGTCAAACCACACCCTTGAATGAATCTCAATCGAATGGGACTCGTTTTGAATCCTTCGCGATGGAAATGCCCAAACCAACATAGCTTGCTAGCTGAAGGAGCTGCCAGAGCAGAGGTTATGCAATATACTTGACTTATTCGATTATCCTTCTTCACCGTTCGAAAAGAAGTGGATTGGTGCACTTCTTCCTATCGGAGGCCTTTTCGACATATGTTGCAACGTCTTTAATAGCATGCTCTTACTTCGTCTTACCTTTAATAAGTCATCAAATTTGGTACTTTTTAATCCCAAGTTGTTGTGGGCAACAAAGGACGAAATACAATCGATTCTTCATTCCTCTATTTAAGTGGTTCTCGCTTCTCCTTGTTCCTGTTCCTAACTCCTCTTTGGGTAGTTCCCAATGTTTTCCATACTTCGTGGGTGCAACATCAAAATATTCGCTCATGATCAATTTACAACCTAAGATCTATGACTATATTATGTTATCTATTCATATTTCTTTCATTGCATCGGTATGCTTCTAGGTACTTGGAATTGTGATCTGTTTGCTAGAACGATGTGTCTTTCTGTGGAAACTTCCACGAACAATCATCTTTTTTATGGGTTTTCCCCTTCTCGCAACTGCTCTTTTCACACCTCCTGATACCGGGCGCCAAATCGTCGTCTGTTTCCTTATTTCTTTAATAATATAGTTGGCTATCTTTGTGGCATCGATTGTACAAGTGGAATGGGAGAAAGATACTTGATCGACAAAAAATAAGAACAACCATGATTTATGTATAATTGAAGAAAAGCCAATTCGTCGAAAGAAACAAAATAGAGCAGTCGTGGGAAAAGAGGATAGGCGGGACAAACCAAACCCGGTTCGAATAACATCCCTTTGCTACTCTCTTTGTATAAACAGTCCCAGGGCCTTTGGAAGGTGGGTGCTGCTGGCCTTTACTTTAAGTTTACGGAGAGATGGGGACTTGAAAATGAGGTTGTGGAATGTAGATATCCTGGGACGTAGGTATGCAAGAACTAAAGATTATGGGCGAGCACCATGATGGTAAAAGTCTTCGATGGGGAGACAAGGGAAAATTATGGGCAATATAGAATTGCCTCTACAGATCTGCCCCTGCACTTTCAACGTTGCTCCACAAGTCATGGACATCAAACCTACTTATTCTAAACTTAGCAAGGCCCACCTCTAAATTTGAGAGAGATAAATTGAACAAGTATGGACATCCCCTATTGGGTTGTACTATTAAACCAAAACTGGGCTTATCCGCTAAGAATTATGGTAGAGCTGTTTATGAATGTCTCCGTATTGGACTTTATTTTACCAAAGATGATGAAAATGTGAACTCTCAACCATTTATGCATTGGAGAGATAATTTCTTATCTTGTGTCGAAGCAATTTATAAAGCACATTGATAGACCGATAATTACACATATTTTCACCCCTATTCTGAGGCCGTTGTGATGTGGAATCTCGTGTTTTAAGCCGATTTCACGCTAGGTTGTGTGTTTATGTCATATTTCAGGACCCGGCGTTGGAATCGAGGCGGAGAAACGAGTTCTGGGTCGAAAGGAGCGAAGTTGGGAAGAAGGGGGCTGATGAGCCAAAATACCCGGCCAAAGGCAGGAATACCCGACCGGGTATTTTCTGGCCATGGTCGGGTAATTTTCACTTCGGGCGCCCGTGAGAAACAGAAGGGGGCCCGGGCAAATGGCTTAAACCCCCGGTCGGGATTATGGAAAGTGACCGGGGATTTTTCCCTTGCATGAAACGGTGCGTTGTGATTATACCCGGTCGAAATCCAAAATACTCGACCGGGTATTTCGACCGGGTATCGCGATCTGGCAGCTGATAAAAGGAAGAAGAAGGCCAACATTGAAGGGTTCCGAGTTTTCGAGATAGAAAGCGATTCCTAGAGAGAGAAAGCAACGAACCAGAGTTCCCAAGTGCCATAGCTTGATCTTCATCACCATTGGAGCCCGGCTTGAGCTTGGAGAAGTGCCGATTAAACGTCCAGGAGCAGAAATCTGTCTTCACAGTATGATTTCCGCGTCTGAATCTGCTTTTGCTTCTTTCTCTATGGAGTAGTTCCCCCATTCATCTGGGTATGGGGAACCCTAGATTTGTATGTTGGGTCTAATTGTATGAACCCAAGTACAGAGTTTGTGAATTGATTATATTCGATTGAGGTTTGAATGATTGAATGACTTGAATCCTGATAAAATTCCTGTTGTTTCTGCTTTGACCTAGAATGAGAATATCTGCCTAGGTTGATAGAGTATCCTTACTCGAAGGTGGCGAATTGGTGACTTTAGTCGAGGAGCCAATTCGCTATTCTGTACCGAATTTCATTCGGTAGTGGAGGTTTGGTTCGTTAGGGCCTCAATCTGTTTACTCCGGTGGAGGTTAGTCGCCCGCTAGAGACTTAGATTGAGAGGGTCTAAAGACCTTTAGTCGAGACTTCGGGCTATTTAAGAACCTTCCGCAGTATAACTTTCATAAAAACTGAACTTGGTAAATTGCAATCCGACTTAACTGCAGTCTAGGGGGAACCATATCCGGGTGACCTCTCTTGACTTGAACAACCGTTAAACTTGCTTTGTGTTTTTGTTTGTTTGAATCTGCACTAAAAGTTCACTGCTAGATAACGAGATTTCACCGAGTAGTCATCACATCTAGGACCCGGGTTGACAATAAAACCCAAACCCGCTATACTACGCTTTAGGAAGTGGTTACACTTGGCCATTTTTTAGAGTGACAGTAGGAGTGAGTCAAGTTTTTGGCGCCGTTGCCGGGGACGGCTAGGTTGTTGAAGAAAAGTGATTTCTGTTACTTTAGCATTTTCATTTTCGCATTGAGTGTTTCTTCTTTCCCACTTGTGCCTTCACGGGTTTGCATTGCTTGATTGTGTGCAGATAGTGCATGACCCGTAGCCAGTCGGGAGGTTTACTGCCGTTGGACCCAGAGATTGAACGCACCAGCCGCCAACTTAGGAGACAACAGCGAGCTAGACTGGCTACGGAAGAGCGCAGAGACGGCCAATTGAGCAGCGAGTCCGAGGACGAGTACGAGATGGAAGGCAATCACAACCCACCTCCGGAGAACCAGTTCCTGGGGAACGACCCCAATCCCCAGGCAGCTGGGGTCCATCATCATCCACCACCACCGGGTCCCACCTTGGAGTACTACTACACTCCACGGATTGCTGACATCCGCCCGGTCATCCTCTATCCGCCAATTCCAGCAAACAACTTCGAGATCAAGCCATGCTGGATTCAACTCATTACATCCTCTATCCAGTTCCATGGCTTGAAGGATGAGGAGGCCCGGGCACATCTTTCCCGTTTTCTGCAGCTGACAAACGGGTTCAAGCTGAACGGTGTTCCGGATGACGCAATCCGCCTTCACCTCTTCCCCCATTCTCTGGCGGGGAATGCTAAGAGGTGGTTGGAGACCCAGCCCCCATTGTCCATCACTTCTTGGGACGATCTGGCAGACAAGTTCGTGCACAGGTACTATCCGGCATCGAAGACCACAGAGATTCAGCGGGAGATCACTCACTTCCGCCAAGAGCCAGATGAGTCCCTTCGTGATGCATGGGAGCGGTACATGGGATATTTCTGGCAGTGTCCCCATCATGGCTTCAGTGATGCATTCACAGTGGGGAACTTCTACAGTGCCCTCACCCCAGACAGCCAGAGGGTGATCGAGTCTCTATGCCCAGGAGGGGATATTCTCACTAAGACTCCACCCGAGCTGAACCAGATGATCAGTACCTTGGCTGCCCGAGATCACTCATGGGGGCAGAGCAGCAGAGGCAGACAGTCCCGGGACCGTGGTGTGCACGCTGTGGAGGTCAGGTCCGGTTTAGAGCAGCAGGTGGCTGAGTTGGTGCAGACACTGAAGCAGCCCAACAGCCTCCTTCCGGGCCGAGGTGTAGCTACGCCTCCAGTAGCTCAGTGTCAGTGGTGTGAGAGCCCGAACCACCTGGTGGAGGATTGTCAGTCTATGAGGGAGTCCTCTACTCCCCAAGAGCAGGTGGACTTCATCGCCAATGCTCGGCGCCTGGACCCATACAGCAATACCTACAATGATGGATGGCGCCAG